AAATAAACAATATATATATATTATATATATATATATATATATATATATATATATATATATATATATATATATATATATAAAAAATAGCATATTGAAATATATAAAAATATGCCTAACAACTTCTCGAAAAAGGTAACAGCCATCAGCATTCAAGAATATTCCACCTCATGACACAACCAACCACGATAACCTCACTTATGTACAAATAATCCACGACGTGTGTTTGCGGTCAGTGTCGTATGAACGAAAAAGGAGTACTTCCGAAATGTGCACATTATGATAGCGTTTAGATGTCGTTTACATGACAATGTGTACGATTCAAAAGTATGCAAGTCTTCGAGGAAAAGATTCAAGGAAATTTAGACGCAAAGGTATATTCTGTTTTCATATCTATAGTTTTGTCAGTGTATCATTGGAGAAGGGGAGAGGGGACGTCACCCCATCTGCTTAATAGTTAAACAGCCCATTGAGAAACAAACATAGGAGTTGTGGCCAGGAATTAAATATCTCTCTGTAACAGCTGACCTATCCCAACTTAAGCTCATGTGGTGTAGTGGTCATTATTTCTGTGTTCTGATGCTGTTTATTCGAGTTTATGGCAGTGAACGTGGTCTGGACGTTCTGAGTGAGGGCCCGTTTCCATGTGAAGTGGTTTATCCCTGGAGTGTCCTGGTCAGGCAGTGTCTTGCACCGAGCTGAAGTCATCCCCTCTCCCTGTACCCCTCCTCTTCCTCCAGGCTCAGAGCTGTGGGGCTGTCGCTTCCCTCACTCTCCTTCACATGGTAAAATGCCATCCTCCCCGGCACGTGATGGCACGGTGTTGCCCATCTCGTCAACGCACCAGCAGTGGCCGCGCTGCATGCCCTTAGAAGACCGACACTACAAGACAACAGGAGATTGTTCTGGCTTTGGTACATCGAAGGTTGTCATTCGCAATACAAAATGGCTCATAATGGTGACCTTCAGATTTCAAAACTTCCTCCTTAGTTCATTTATTGAAACGAACTTCCACAAGGAAGTTGGGTAGATACTACTAAACCGGAAGAACTAACAAAAGAGTAAACAACAGTGATAAAATAATCCTTCTCATTATTATATAATTGACTTTTTTTAAATGTTAATGTTACCAAAGCCCTTTTACCATATCAATAAAGCCACTTGAATCTTTTCCCTATTTCCATTGGATATTGATTTAGTTAACCAGTACCTGCTTTTTCCTGTAGAACCCACGAGTGTCACAGTTTGGGATGTAGATGTCACGATCGGACTGGAAAATGGTGAGTTCGAGACCTCGCAGGACAGTGTTGAGCAGCTTGCGACATGGAGCCTGGTGAGGAAATGTTGAGAACAAAATGTTGGAATGCCACACGTCATGCTTAAGAATTTGTATTATGTATATTTGCTTAAGAGGCATTTTGATCATTCCATTCTCTTCTGGCACTGATTGTTTTGTACTTAGAGGTACACAAATGAGTTTGGTGTAACAATATAAAATAATAAGTATATTCAATTAAAAAAGTATTAAAAAATCACATAAAATCATAAGGTTTTCAGGATCTTAAAACTAGAGTTCCACTTTAATTATACAGCCACAATCTGACCTGTCTTTAACATTTAATATTAATTTAATAATTGATATAAAACAGTTAACAATGAAGCCTAATTAACCCTTTTTCCTGTAGAGTTTTTTTTTTATCTTGGTCTAATGCTCAGATTGTAAACATTAATTATAAAAGCCAAAAACCAAAGATAGACTCACCTTGTCTATTTCACCACTATTTGAAGGATGTGGCCCTGTGAAAAAAGGGACATTAATACTGAATTATGACTCTGCATTTTTGAGAAAAAGACATTGAAACCTGTGATTCAACTAAATGAATATGGTTGGCTGTGGTTTAAGAGTATAAGTTGTGTGATTTGGGATATTTGATCTGGACAAACCCACATTTTTAAAGAATAGTTCCTGAAACCGTTCTTATAAATTGACAATATAGGCTACATCTCTTAAGTTGTAATGACTGAAAGTAAACAGTAGATGGAGACTGCATGATTACATTTCACCTGCTACATGAAATGACACTCTAGGAATGTGGGTGACACTGATATACACTCAAGAACACATACACACACACACACACTACTCTTGCTCTTTATCTAATCTGTTTCTCCTCTTTATTCTGCTCTGAATAGTTCTGATGTCCATATGCATGGCACAGTTGCATATACTGTCACACAACTACACACACACACACACATCTGTACTCCTATACAACCCTTGCACTTTCATCCAAATGGCCATTATTACAAGTGATCTTCATCATGCGTATTTACGACGTGCGAAAGCCTCAAATCACAGAAATGCCTTTACACCCTGCAGGAATTTACAGCCATCACATGCAAACCAACAGCTATTCCCGGCACTTTATGCACATGTCCTTGGTTCAGTTACAGTTTTGTCATCCTACCAAGCCTCTGATATGGACACTGCAGCGCAGCGGCTTGCCAGCACATCCGTGGAACCTGAAATGCATCCTCGAGCTATTTCGCTGTGGTACTTAAAGCAGATAAGCCATCGCATTTTCTCACCGCATGCGGCACGGCGAGACGCCGGCGAAGCTACGGCATGGAGGAAGGGACCGCAAAGGCATCTGCTGGCTGAAACTCTTACCTGTGGGGCGGGGCCTCTCAGTGGAGCTGGCTCTGCTCGGTTTGGCGCAGAAGCCTCTGCCCTGCAGCAGAGCCTGAAGGGGGCTGTGTTCACGTGGAGGGGGTACGCAGCGAAGCCCCTTGGCGCAGCTCAGGGTGTAAACCCCGCAGGGCTCCCCCGACGCCAACACGGTGGTGCTGGGCGCCCCAGCCGGGTCCCTGGAGGCCCGGCCCGTGCCTGAGGGGTGCCCGTCTTTGCAGGTCAGGCAGTTTTTGTGGGGGCCCAAGCGACCCGCCAAAGACCAGGATCCACTGTAGATGAACAGCAACAGGACAACGGGCATTAAGTTGGAAAGGAAAGACATCTTGCGTCCGGGTCTTAGGTTCTCCATGCACGGTTCTGTCGTACGTGGCTGATGCTATTTCTGGAAGTCTGTTTCTCTTTCCCCTCTCTGTTTCTTTGCTCGCTTTTCAGCTTGGTGAGGCTGCGAGCTGGGAGTCCCCTGCAGTGCCAGAGGATACAAACCGAGAACGAGTGAGAAACAGCAAGCAGCGGCTTTTAAAGATCTGAAAGGCGGTGATAGAGAGCGAGAGGGAGAGAGCACAGTTATGACACCTTCAGGGGCTGGGACTGAGAGAGAGAGAGAGGGAGAGAGAATGTGTAAGGGGGGGTGGAAAGAAAGAGAGAGAGAGATTATTTTTCCTTTTAGAAATCATCAAGCACTGCTCCAGCTTTCCCTCACCCATTATTGTATCTGGAAACATTCCTTTGCCCAGGATACTTACTCTGGCTATGATGGTTACTTTTTCTGCATCATCTGTGAAAATGTTAGAGCATTCTAGTAATCTTTGCCATGGTAACAATGAAGGCGAGGGATTCCATTTCTCTGCCGACTACGGTAATTTGCTTGTGGGAGAGTCGCACCATTAACCCTGTTGCTTCTAATAATTCTAAAAAGATCAGCCACTTCATAGAAGTCAAGCTTTTTTATGTAGCATTGTAGTATTAGTTACTTTTTGAACCTTTTCATGATCTTTCAGATACAGAAAAACTACTTATTAAAGTTGCGATGAAACTGAAGTGGTGACGGATCTTTTCTTCCGTATTGTGACATACTTCTGAACATCGAAAAAGACAAAATGTGGAGCAGGGATTTGGTTTGAGGTTCAGTTGATTGGATGTTGAGATGTGGGCATTGCACTCCAAAAATGGATGTAGATGAATGTGAGCTTGGGGTTGGCATTCGTCACGGAAGTTACGAATTGCCAAGCCAAAACGTTTTTAAAAAATGACACGTATATGGACTAAGCATTCACAATAATATCAACCACATGTTAAGTTGTGATGCAAGAATTTTCTGAATCCAAGCCTCTACTTGTTTTAATTGAGAACACTCAATATTTATTCGCACATTTAAACAAAGCTTTTAAAAACTGAAGGTATAAATTACAGTCTCCAGGCTCAGTGTCCTGGACACCAATATTTCAATGATTCATAAAAGATGAGTCACTGTCTGTCCATCCGACATTTCTGTATGGAGATAAAGGTTAGGATCATGATTTTTCAGTAGTATGTTGCTTGCTTTTGGGATCTGATAATGTTTGGACCTGTTGACACGTGAAGTCAGACTTAACAAGCACCTGAATTGAGAACATTGCTTTATGATGGAGTGATTCAACCAAGGGTGATTCTGCCACTTAATAGTTTATTTTGGAGAAGGGACTGTGTGGATACTTGGGGCAGTGTTTTCACTGGAATGTACACAAGACAATATATGCCAGCAGCTAATAATGCAATCCATCAGCCTAGTCAACCAGATAAATCTGATCTCTTTGGAGGACTTCATAAAGTTCAGAGTTGTCCTTTGGCACAGATACCATTAATCGAGTCGTCTTTTAGTGCCAAGAAGTCTCGGAGGGCTTTTGTTGAAGACGATGAAAATTCCATACTGTGGCCAAGGGGTTTACACCAAGATTTAAACCAACTATTTTTACCATCAGGATGCACCCAGCAGATATGTCTGATGGGCTCTCTTACATGCAAAAGCCTGCTTTCAGGTCACACCCAGCTGAAGGGGTCCCATAAGGACAGAGTGGTGTTTATTTGTTGTTGTCGTGAAGCGGGATGAAAGTTAAGATGTCAAAGATGGGCTGGTATGAGTGCAGAAGGCAAACAGGATTTAGATGATTATCTTACGATATTGACATGTGTGGTCATAGTTCTCTTTAACACAAACATGTTTGCTTTCTGATTCTCAGTTTGTGCCGCAGAAAAGATCTGTTTATCGGCTATGAATACCATTGAACAATCCCAATTTGATAGGCCAGGCCTAGTTATTTAACTTCTGGAAACCACAAAATGTTGGAGTGTTCCTTGTTTGGGCAAAAGTCGGCTGGCTGATGTTCTCTTATTAGAGTTGATTAGTCTTGGCAATGAACGCAAAAATCACCTGCCGTCTGACATTCCCATCCGTGCCACAGCACGACCCCGTTCTCTGTTTCCACATGTTCTGGCAGGAGAATGTTCCAAGAAGCATGCCAAACCGATGGGGTCTCTCTGTTTCCAGATTCACCAGATTACACGGTTTTCCTCCTCATCTCTGTCTACAAGTCAGAGTTCGATGGTTATGCTCTTATGTTTCTTTCAAAACTTTTCTGCTTCCATTTGTCAGCAGTTTCTCAGTGTAACTTCCACCAAAAATAAGATGCATGCATCATCCTTTCTTTCAGATGTTACGGCCCATACGCTTACAGTACGTTTAACTCCTGCAGTCGTTATGAGTCACAGACATAAGGGGCCTTTAGATTGTACCAAATGTTCTGTAACCCACTTTTCAGTTGTGTGAGGTAATAGAGTGCCAGACCGTTTTAATAGACCGAAAATACGTCCTCACAGAATGAAAAATGGAAATAGTTGTGTCAACGCTTGTGTTAATAATGTGTTAATAATAAAGTATTTGTGTCACTTCATTAAATGGAGTACTTGATTCTGATTTGGTCTTTCTTGGTATTCACTGGCCAGATACTACAGAATAATAACCGTTGAGCAGGAAAATGGTGTAGCCTATATCTGACCACTCTTACAGGATGAATGTCTCTCTTGAATCTTTACAAGTAAAAAAATTAATGAATTCAAATCAATATTATATATAGTTTTTAAAAATTTATTTATTTTATTAATTAGCTGTGAGGTAATGTACAGTGTGTTTTTAAGTTAACAAATGTGATTGTGGCAGTATTCAAGCGATAATATACAGTCAGCTGGCCATTATTGCAAAATAAACCCTATTTACCCTGTTGGGTTTATTTTTTGCGATGATGACCAGCTGACTGCATATTGTCACTTAAATATAGCCACAATCGTTTTAAAATAAAAAACGCATGATTATACGATAATAACATATTATATTTTTTATCTGTAAAATAGGACCCAACTGTGTGCGTGTGTATATACACACACACATAACGTCTTGAAAAAATATTGATATACTTTATGCTTATAAAATTATATGTAGTATGTAAAATTGGTCAAAAGCTCATTTCTCCTGCGCAGTTCTTGAAGCCCAACTCAAAAACCCCTGCGACTCGCTGTGAAGTTTCTCATTGGTCAAACGCCTGTCAATCAACTCTGTGACGCCTTTCATTGGTGCGCTGCATTCATTCCTCGACTGACGCCATCCGGGAAGAGCCGCTTTCACTTCTGCGAAGTTTGTCAGGTAGCTTAGCTAATGGAATCGATAGCTAGAAGTAAACATAAGTGGCCTTAGAATGTTATAACGTCTTACCCACTGATGTACATAAGGTACGTACGTAACGACATAATATACGTTACATTGTAATGACTGTAGACATTTAGCGGTTCTGTAGTTTTTGTATTTATTTCGAGTAGGCCTCAAAGCTGATAATTTGTTAGCTATGCAAGGTGATTAGCAGTGATTGAAGCTAACTTGCTAGTATGAGCTATTGCATCTGTTACTTAATTATTTCCCTTCTGTCAAATGTGACACAAGCTTTTCTTTAAACATGCAATCATTATATAAATAGTAACGATACGCTGTTATAACAGAATTTAGATAATAGTTTATTGACACTATACATAGCATTGATGTAGTCAGTATTTACATAGCTAGATGCTTTTGTCTGGACTTCTGTCTGTCCAATTGTTTTTATGAGAAAAATAATATCTATATGTTGCTAAATGCTGTAGTAGGTGCCACCATGTGATTGACATGATAATTATGACAATCTAGAATTATCCTCTGCCATATCCTGGGTGTATGTATGACAGCTGACACATTACATCTGTTGAGGCCTTTTAGACTCTTAGATAACTCCTTATAGTAGTATAATTTATTGCATGTGTGTATAGCCCAAATATTACAATAAGGCCCTGTGATAAAGATAAATGTTTTGTAAACGACTGATACTGGGGAACTTCATACAGTTGACTCTAGATAATAAGGTATTTAGTGCTGAGTGATGTTCATCTTAGGTGTAGGTGGGGAGACAAATATGCATCCCATTTCTGAACCATTGCACACTTTAGAGCAGGGGATCTTAAACTTTTTTATGTCGGCCAAGAACCCAAGACGTTAAATATTTCTATAATTTAACGACACATTCACATGTACATGGTTTCTTTTATGACAGTCGGTGGTCACATGACTTGCAAGTAAACTTAATCTTTGTGTTTTATTTTTTTTAATTGCTTATGTATGGGGCTGCACGACGGACAGAAATTATATTGCAATTTTGTCATATATTGTGATGATTTCAATGATAAAGTTTAACAGAGTGAGCTGGACTTTAAATAAACTCAAACCTCTTTTGTTCATTACATTCACACTGGTGTTTTAGGAACCCAACCAAATAGAATATAATAATGTTAAAGGGGTCATATGATGCTGCTAAAAAGAACATTGTTTTGTGTATTTGGTGTAATGTGTTTATGCGGTTTAAGGTTTAAAAAACAAATTTTCCACATACTGTACATTATTGTTTCTCCTCTATGCCCCGCCTTTCTGAAACGTGTCAATTTTTACAAAGCTCATCGGTCTGAAAAGCGAGGTGTGCTCTGATTGGCCAGCTATCCAGTGTGTTGTGATTGGCCGAATACCTCAAGCGTGTGACGGAAATGTTACGCCCCTTACCATACTGTGATGCCCTGTGTCCCGGCCAGAGTGACGAGACAAAAACATTAAAACCCATTATAAACGAGGCATTTGTTGCATCCAGTGGGGACATAATTACGGTTGCGTTGCATCGCGCCGCGTAAACATAAAACCATGTCTGCATTTGTGATCGGAGAAATGACAAACAACAAGCCCTACTCTACACTGCCCAAAACTCACGTTTGAATCGTCAGTGGAAAATATAAAAACGTACTTACAGTCTGTGAGTCAGAACAGCCGCATTGTAGTCTACTCTACTAGGATCAGGAAACAGTCCTCCATAAAATGCGCTGGACACATCTGAATATTTGGGTT